GGGCAGAGAGATGCAGGTTGTAGTCAGTGTGTGCAGGAGACCAGACCAGGTCACTGTTGTGCTCTTCCCCCATGCTGGAGCAGGCATGGGCACCCTGCTCACACTGTCCTGCATTGCCATCCCTCCCCTTGCAGCAGCTTGCAGTTGCTCCATTCCAAGCGGAAAATGAAGTGCTCCTTTATTGGCTTTTCTGTTGGCTACAAAATGTTCCATTTTATCGTGTGGTTGTTTTTTTTCCCCCTCCTTACATTCTTCCAGGAAACACACTGATTTATGGTATAATCTTGGCAAATCCCAATCCAGGGGAACACAAACTCGCTTGTGCCTGGTAAATGACTTTTTAATGGGCCTGTTTCCAGCCAGGAATGCATCTGCATCTGAAGAAGGGGGAATTCTAGCCTTGCCCAGGCAGTAGCCTACGTATGTCACTGGGGGTCAATACAGTTTGGTCACAGAGGAGCTGACCTTAAACACAGCCTGTTGAACAGAGTGGGTTCCCACAGACCACCTCAGACCTGGCTGGGGAAATTAGGGTTTTTTCAGTGCAGGAAGGGAGTTCTGAGCATGTACACAGGAGCTCTCCAAGTGAATCAACATTTACCTGCTGCAAAACTGTTTGACAGCAATGTTGGAAAGCCCCCCACTCCCCCAACATCTTGGCCAGGAATAAGGTGATGATGGACTCTTGCTACAACTAGGGCTGGGTCAGAGGTGGGCTGAGCCTGCAGGTGGGGTTCCAGGAAGCCAGAGGGGCCACAGAGGGGAAGTGGCTGCCGACATGCACCTACGGGTTGAGAGCCTGCTATTGCACAGCAACTTGATGTGGGAGGCTGTCAAAGGAGTCTCCAGGATGGGGTGAACAGGACAGAGGAGCTGGAGGAACCACCTCCACCTCTCCTGCAGGATATATCTGCTTGGCATCGGCCTTCTGGAGAGGAAGATGCCATGCCTGCCTTTAGCATCGCTGCAAGGCACCTCGGAATGTGATCTTGTGGCATGTCTGCTGGCCTCACATCTGCCCCCAGCTTATACCACACTGTGTCCTCCTGGGCTTTGCCTTTCACTGCGACCTGAGCTTGCCCAAGCTGGTGGGCTTGTCTGGCTGGAAAGCAGGAGCAACTTCCTGCTTGGAGCTGGTGCAGGACCAGACCTCTCCTGTGCCTCCATACTGGTTTCCTGTCCACAGAGGGAAGATCCCGCCATTGCTTCCACTTCCTATGAGATGACAGGTTTAGGGACATCCTTGCTCATCAGCTCATCTGGCCACTGGACTGGAGCCTAGTTACCCAAGGACCAGAAGTTTATATTTTGCATTGCTAATGGAGCAATAAGCTGTCCCAGACCCTGGTCCCAGCCAGAAGGATTTGTACGGGGATGTCCTAATGGAACCAGAGAAACTTCCTATTCATTTCTAAAAGGAGCAGTCTAACGAAGCTGCCAAAAATAAATCTCTATAATGAAGAGCCTTTGTAAATTATTTAGATATTATATCCCACTCCAGCACTGATTCAAGGAGAGAGGATGTACAGACGCTTTCTTCTCTGAAGCTCCGGACACAAAGTGAAATCTGTGCTGTCATTACAATGAAAATGTAGGCTCTGAGATCCTGATTTTTGCCTGAGAAAACTGTCTCTTTTACCTGGAATTAAAGAGGAAGAAATAAAAAAGTCATAGCAGCAATTCAGGCCCTGAGACAAGGACCTCCGTGGCCTCAGGACCTCGCTTGAGTCCCATCACCTGAAGCTGACCACCTGTACACAGGTGCTTTGCATGATTAGGCTTTCTGAGGCACTGCACACTTCAGGACCCCACTGGAGGTAGGGTGGTTCAGCCAGCAATTCCTCCTTTGTTTCTCAGTTGTGGTTTGAATGCTGTGGACTCTTTCCAGTAGAAACAGGGCTGAGACTCACCAAACTCATTAAACTTCAGCTGCCATCAATACTACAATTGTTAGCCACCTGCTAACAAATCTCAGTCCCTCCTTGGGATGCAAAGCCTGGGTTTGCAGCTTGTCACACCCCCCCCCCCCACTACAATCCCATATTCATACATCTGAGGTATTTTATAAGGCACAGTGCTTGGCAGCTTGTGGGCTATTAGCCACAGCTAGCCCCATGACACGTTACTGGGGCTCACAGACTTCTCCCTTCCTCCCTCCCTGCTTCCCCAGCCCCTCTTTGCCAGCAGTGGGGCTGGCTTCTGCTTTGTCCAGCCCTGCAGTTTGGCTCTGGCCTGGAGTTCCTGCCCACGAGCAACCCTGCCAGGTCCATGCTGCCTGGCTGAGCTGGGGAGGCCAGGGCTGGTAGGGGTGGGGAGGAAGGCCCCCTACCACATCCAGGTCAGCGCTGGTGGGATCTGAGGCCACACTGTCCCTTATCACTCCTCTTATCATGGAGATTATTGGCTTTTTATATTAAACTTTCTCCAGAGAGCATAATACAATCAGCCAGACACGAGGTAAGGGCTGGGCAGGCCTGGGAGTGATTTACAAGCAATCTGCCTCTGCAGTATTTTTCACATAAGGGGCTGTTTCCTTCTCTCCCTCACCATCTCCCAGCTCTCCTGCTGCCACTATGAGCTGCACAGGTCTCCCTGCAGCAGCAAAGAGCTGCGATGAGCACTGGGGCTGCATGGGCAGCACAGGCTCACAGGGAGGTGAAGAGTACCTATGGCAGCCAGCACTGCCTGCCCCACAAACACAGATGCCATTCAACAGAGCTGCCCCTCACCTCCTGTCACTGCCCAGCACTGTCCCAAATTCCCCACCCACATCAAGAAGGAAAATGGGAAACGGCCCCTGGATGTGCACAGCCAGGAATGGCTCGTAGGCAGAAAGGGCCTTTCTCCAAGAAAAGCCTTGGTCTGGGCAGGCTTTTTACAGCTGGTAAAACATGTCTAGCCTCTGTGATCTCACTTTATCAGTGACTTGAAATAACTGGGTTCCATTTCTCATGGTGGCTGCCCCCCACCCCTCCTTTCTGCTGTGGCCTGTGTTTTTGCTGCAGACTGATTAGAGGTAATTTTTTACCAGCCAAAGTGCAAGGAACAGTTCACACTCCTTGCAGGAAGTAGAAAAGGGATTTTTCAGCTGAGATGTGATTAGGAAGCACAAAGCAAGGATGCCTGAATCTGAATGCTCTCTGGAAAGGGCAGGGTCAGTATCAAGCTCCAGAGAAGGACTTAGCTCTGGGTGGTGTCCCTGAGGCATTTGGTGGGAGATAAGCAGGAAATTTGGAGCTAAAACACACTTGGGAAGTCCAGCGGAATCCACTGGCCCTTTGGCCATGAGGAGGTTCCTTGGACAAGTATTTTCCAAAAGCAGCATGTGAATCCCTCTGCATATGAGGCCCAGACTGAGTCTGATGGTGGGAGTGATCCACAGGGGCTAGAATGGGCACAGGAGTGGCTTCTTGACCAGGCCACTTGTTCCGTGGGCATGACAAGGATTCTCACCTCTCTCCCCTGGTTCCCCTGATGGACAAAGGGAGGAGTGAGATACCAATTTTAAGGTCAAAGGGATCATCCAGGCTTTCCTCCTGCCTCGTGAGACAGGTAATCTCTCCTGGCCACCCTGCACCACATTCCTCCTGCTCCTGTACAGGATCAGTGTCCATCTACTGCATGGGAGCTTCATCAAATGAATATTTGCAACAATATTTGAGATTTGCACAGGGAAGACAGATTACTACACCCTTGAGAGTCTTTCTGTACTTGGTTAGTTCAGCAGCGCTCCTCCAGGTAGGGAGAACATTTCTTCCTGACCTCAATTTATGACAAACACTGAAGCATGAGGCTGGATTGATTGCACAAGGAGATTGTGTCTTAGTAACTCATGTGAATGCTGCAGCAGCTATGCTAATTCATCATTCCTTTATTTATGAAATCTGTGTGCAGGTTGAGTGCAATTAAATGATGTGCTTTGGGATCCTAGGGAATGAAAGGATCATGGAAAATGGAGGTTTGTTATCCTAGTTTACTGTGCACTGAGCCCACCTACAACAGCATGACAAACCAGATGTGAAACATAAGGTTTAAAAAAACTAATCCAGCAATTGATGTCACAGGCTGTATTTGTCAGCGTGTTTGATCTCAGTGCCTTTCCCCTACTTTTCAGAGAACTCAAATCTCTTTGTGGCATCTTCCTGTGACAGACAATTGAAGAGCTTGTAAAACTAATTTTGGGGGAGGCTGAAACATTTGACACCTGCTCTCCAGCTCAGTCCCCGGTCCCCATCAGCACCCAAAGAGCAGTGGGTGGCGCCTGACCCCGCGTGCCAGGGATAAAATGCCCTCCCCGCTGGAGAATAGAGAGAGGGGAGGGAACTGCCCCACTTAAACAAGCAGCTGCTGATCAGAGCAAATGCTACAGGAGACCATGCAGCAGCAGGAGATTGGAGGAATGCCTGGAAGTCAGCAACTCTGCTGACAGTAGCAGTTGCAAGAGGCGGTGAAGGGAAAGAAAGGTAAGGAGAGTAACGTCTGAGACTACAGATACATTAACCTGGGGGGCAGGGACATGGAGAGTGGGAAATTGCACAGCACTCTGGTGGCAGAGCTGAGGGAAATCCCAGGTCTCCTGTTTTTTACACGAACCCTCTGAGCACCCAACCTTTTCTATTAGGGCAGAAAGGGAAGGAGTGGACAGACTATTGTTGCTTGGAGATTGGCAGTTCTGTCATTCTTAAATTGACAGTTTGATCAAGATTCATCAGAACTCATGTCTGTCAGAAGGAAGCAAGCAAGTGGTCCAGAGGATGGATGCAAATTCTACTACTCCTTTTCTTTTGGCAAGCTGTAGAAGTTTCTTCAAGAACTTCTGGCCTTTAGATTGTGATTCTGCCCAGAGGAAGGCGACCAAAACAATAGCTTCCAGCATATAGCATATAGCTTCAAAGCAGCCCAGCAATTCCAACTAGGTAACTCTTTAGCACACCCCAGACACACTATCTATGTTGTACTCACAGCCTGAGAACACTACAAAGAGGTCAAAGTGACTTGCCTGTCAGAGCAGTGTTGCAGGGCTTATAGGAATTTCAGTCTCCCTGCCTCCTTAAGCACTGTCCATAGATGGAGTTCCAAAAGGCACAAGGTTTCACAGAGCAGCCCACTGTGACCTTGATTCTGGGTGTCCTGAGCACTTCTGTCAGTAGAATAATTTTGCCAAAGCAAAATGACGACACCTCCTTAGCCAGAGATCAGTGATGAGGGAGTAACAGTCCTTTCGGCTGTGGGGCACCTGGAAGAGAAAGAAAGAGAATGTAAGAATAGGAGATCTTGATGCTCTGAAAGGCCAAACCATGGACAAAACACTTATAAAAAAAGTTAGAATCTTCTTTTAATTGCAGCAAAGAGCTCATGAGAATAGCACAGACGTAAGAGGATTTAAATGGAAAACAGAACCTGTTGTCCGTACGTATCTCGTGGTTCTGTCTTACAAGGTAGGAACTGGCAAGCCATGGAATAAGCCAGGCAGGTAACAACGAAGACAGGTACATAACAGCTCTATCATGCTTTTTTGGACCTTCAAAAAGACTGGTTAGATACAGACCCATTGGCAGAGTAGATGTGGGAAGGTAAGCCCAGCCCAGAAGTTGTGGGAACAGGAATGCAGACAGAATGGGTGGTGGCGGGTGTTGGTAAGAACTCCAAAATACCAGCAGAAGCACCTGCAAAGAGAAGACAAAGAGTCTTGGAAAACCAAGTGGTTCAGTTAGTTTAAAGTCAGACAAAGAAACAACGCCAGATGGAGTAAGAGAAAGCATGACAAGCAGGGGGACAGAAAGGTGGGAAGAGATTTCTCCTTTGGAAAGTTAAGGGTGTATCTGTTTATCTTGCCGCATGGAATATGCAGAGGTCTTGCTTTGCCTACTCCCTTCCTTGTGGGAGGAAAGATGTGAAACAAAAGGCATGTACTACAGCACTTAGGGATCCATAGGACTGGGATGGAGGGGACCTTGCTGAGTCAGTGTACCCAGCCATCTCAGTGCAGTTTGCAACAGCTGGAGCCCTGGCATCTGAAAGGAAGATGGGAGCTGCAGCATGTAGCTTTTGGCAGCATCTGCTGCTGCATGATTTGGCCATGGTAAAAAGAATTTTCTGCTTTTCAAGTATTCTGTCTTTCTTTCTGTATGGAGGGTTATGTGGAGAGCACATGGCTGACTGGGGCACACTGGCACTAGGTTTAAGTGGAGCCAGGGGGACCTGGGCAGCCATGCAAGGCAGGGCAATGGGTGTGCAGCCACAGATGCTTGCAAAATGGGGGTGTGTATGGGGAGTCCAGATGACTGCTGGAGGCAGGTTCCCAGAGAGATGCTCTGGCAGATAAAGCTGCACTGGCAGCAGAAGGATGCATGTAAGGCTGTGGGATGGAGGGGATGTATCAGGCTGACAGGTGGAGCACCTGGTACAGGTCAACAGGGATCTAGTGGGAAGTAAGGAGGAAACCTGGGTTAAAGCCAGCTCTGAGACACCCTCTGTGGAAAGACGCAGAACAAGGGAGGCCTCGGAGGTGGCACCCACAGAGTTCAGATGACAGGTTCTGTCCCCGTCAGGCTCTAGTGGTTCGTGGTCAGGGAACAGCAGCAGCCAGAGCTTGGGAGCGCAGGGCTGGCACCGCAGGGCCTCGGCGTTCTCCTCCTTTGCACCGAGGGCTGCCGCAGCCGTGGGTGGCCAGGCTGGCGGGATCCCCGGGCCTATGGCTGAGACCGGTCCTTCCCACTCAGGGTCGGGCCTGCCCAGCCTCAGGCACCCGCGAGTGCCCCGCGCGGTGCGAGACGAGCCGCATCGTCCGGGGCCCGGGCCCGCCCTACGCCGTCGCACCACCGGCCGCCAAGGCCCTACAGGCCCGGTGGGGTCCGGCCACGAGCCCGTGGAGGGCGGGGGGTGGCAGCTGCTCCGCGGTCGGCCAGGCCCAGTCAAGGGAGCGCCCCAGCCCTGCCCGCCCCACCATAGGGCCCCCGGTCCGCCACCTTCCCACAATGCCCAGCGGCCCCGCCCCGCTCTGGGAACGCTCGTCCAAGCGTCCTCCCCTCCCCGCGCCTGGCCAACCAAACCTGCGCTCCCATTGGCCGCGGCGCCACGTCCCGCCGGCCGGGGCCCGCTTCGCCGCGCGCCGCGCTCACCCATTGGCGCGGCCGCTGTCAGTCAGCGCTTGTTTTCAGCGGCAGCGGGTTGGGTTGCGCCGGCTCGGCGGTGTCTCGGCGGGGCCGTGCGGAGGGAGCGGCGGCGCAGCCGGGCGGGAGCGGCGCGGGGGCGGCGGCGGCGCCAGCGCGAGCGGCGGCGCCAGCGCGAGCGGCAGCGGTAGCGGCACTGGGCCCGGCCGCAGCACTCGGGGCCGGGACGAGCCCGGGCCGGGCCGGCGCCGCACAGGGAGGGAGGGTGGGGAGGAAAGGGGGCGCGGGGCCGGGCCGGGCTCCCGGCAGTGCGGAGGACGGTGGTCGGTGCCGGGGGGTGGGGGTGGGCGGGGGCGTCCCGGCCGCGGCGCGACCATGACTTTGGAGTCCATGATGGCCTGTTGCCTGAGCGACGAGGTGAAGGAGTCGAAGCGCATCAACGCCGAGATCGAGAAGCAGCTGCGGAGGGACAAGCGCGACGCCCGCCGCGAGCTGAAGTTGCTGCTGCTGGGTGAGGAGCGTGGGGCCGCCGCAGGGCCCGGCCCGGGGCTCGGCAGGTCCGGGTGGCTGGGCCAGGCGAGGAGCGGGTGTGGCGGGTAAGCGGCGGGAGCCATCACCGCCTCAGCCCGGCGCTCGGGGCCGCTCCCGAGCCGTGCGGGGCGGCCGCCTCATTGGCTGCCCTCTGTTTGATTTTGTGATGCGTTCGCTGTCAAAATGGATTTTGACATAAGCAGGAACTAAGTAGCTGAAATTCCTGGTTCCGAAGGCGGGCACACACACACGCGCGTGAAATTTGTCTCGAGGAAACGGTTCTTGGGGCGTGCTGGCCTTCGTAAGCATGTGAAAATTTGCTGATGGAGTTGGTGCTTTCCAGTATTGTTGATGAACCCCTGGGCCTTGAGTGAAAAATTGGCCTCCGGCTCCTAAGCCACAGAGTTCCCCTTGTACAGCCCTGGGAGAGCCGGCAGGGCTGGCAGCGTGTTGTGGTGGTTCTGAAAAAGAACGAGACAGTAAGAATGCAGGAGTTGTGTGTTTCATGAGGAAATGTCTGGAGAGTTTAGCATTGCCCTCAGAGGAAGAGATCACCTGTACAGCCATAAGAATCTAGGTCTTCGTATGGAAACAGTAATGTTCTCTGTGCAGATGAAAAACTGCTGTGAGTTTTAGGTGAGTGTATAGGGATGGGTAATCAGTTACCAGAGCAGCCAGTGAAGATTGCAGGCATGTACATCCTTCTTCAGCAGTGAGTTAGATATTCATGTCTAGGTAGCCCCCCAGATTTAAGCTTGATACAGTTTTCATGGGTACTGTGACTTATCATTCCTTATGTCTTAAATATATTCTGCTTTGTGGCTTAAATACTGTATCAGCTTAAGCTGACATCTGAAGCAGATCTGATGGACTCAGTTGATTCACTTGGGGTCTGTTGACAAGCCATTAAGGTACCAATGAAGCTGACCCTTGTGAAAACAAATGTAGCACTTTGCAGAAGTGAGGGGGGGCTGTGTATGCCCAGCCTTTTGAAGGGCTCCAGTGGTGCCTGGTGATAACTGTTCAGTGAAGGCCAGGGCTTCACTGCAAATCTGTCACAACTGATGTGTTCTTCAGGTGAAATGTAAAATCAAGGACTTGATGTTTCTGCTCCTCGGAGACGCTGTGGCAGTTTCTCTAAGGCTTGTAGATGAGGGAGGGTGCCTCTCTCTCTCATGCTTCCCTAAAACAGTTCCATAGAAGCAGCTGTTTCAAAATAGGCTAGCACTATAGGATAGATCTGGGTTAAGAAGATCCCACTGGATCTAAAGATTTCACTTTAGAAATAATTCAGATTGCTTGAGAATCCTTTCTGCTTTTCTAAAAGATACAGCCAAGTAAGATTCAGCATCAAATAAAAAAATAAATTACGTGGGGTGATTATTATTGGATAAGCAACATTGCTAGTGGTAGACTGTTTGCTGGATGCTTTTCACTGCACATTGCCCACCTTCAGCTGAGGCAGATAACATGTTCTCTCTCCTTAGTGTAACTGCTGCTTGCAGGGATTTCTTCTGTGTTGCTCCTATTATGTGGAGTTCTAACATTCACAGCTGTTAGTGATTGAATTAGTAAGAGAACTTTCCCAAATCTCCAAAATTTTGAGTGTATGGAAGGAGTTTTCATCCTGTAGAAAGCGTGTTAAATTTTCTTGTCACTTCATCTAATGACAGTTACTTTGGTGAAGCCTAAACCAGAAAATTGGCACGAAGAATAACAGTGCTAATCAGTGATGAACCTGATAATACGAAATTCAAGGTGTTGGACATTGCCCTCTGATATAAGGTAGTAATTTGTCATTTTACTGGGTGAGGAGAATATTTTGTACAAAAATTACTTGTGATTAAGCATGGGATACTGTTGACTATTTACAATTGCCTGTGAGGTACTTGGGGGTCATTAGTAAGTTATTGTAAACTCTGCTGCTTTCACGTGTTGATAGAAGAAACAGTGAATTCAAATTATCTCCTTTCCCAACACTGTCATATTAAAAGGGGTTTTGTGCCCTTACAACTGTAGATCTTGCCCACCAGAACTTGTAACCTGCTGGTGTAGTGCTGTGCTGCTTTGTGAGTGGCCTTGGGGAAAACAAGAGGCACCTTTTTAAAAAAAAACCAAAAACAAAACACTGAAACAAACAATAACAACCAACCCACTTCCCCCCCAAACAAAAACAACCCCCGAAACAAAAAAAGGGAGGATGATGGAATGACAGGAAGAATTTGCGTTTGATCTCTAAGTTCTGAAGCAAGCAAAGGTCTGGTGCTGAGGTTTCTCTTATGGATTCATTGTTGAAATGCTTCGAAGCACCACCGTTTTGTTTTGTTTTGGTTTTTTCCCCTTTCAGTTTTGGTCACTGCGGTAAAAAACAGGGAAGTATTTCTCACCACAGTTAGAGAAACCACGAAAGATTTCAGTTTCCAAATTTCCCTCCACTTAGGGCGTACCTTGCTGTTTGAGATGGAGATAGTTTGCTGCATATTAATAGTATTTACAATGTTCATTTTTGACTATGCTGACATGATTTCTCTCAGTTCTAGCTGTTTATTGCAAACATTCTTCTTCTAGTTAGGTGCTTGCTGCTTTTATCTGAGCATATTTATTTATTTGTTTGCCTTTTAGCCCACCAGGATAAACGTAACTGAGAATCTACATGTGAGTAGTAATTGTGTACGGGGATGAATGCGATCCAGTCTGAATCCATCTCTCCCCTGGTGTGAGAAGTGCCTGGTGGTGCCTGTGGTGAGAACCAGGGCTCTGCCAGCCTCATTTTTAACTGCAGATCAAAGGGATTTGTCACTGATGGGATACAGTTGAGTTTTTTGTGTCAGTAGCCAAGTGAGCCGGGCTACTCTGTTAGAGTGCTGTTTTTTCTATGTATCCTGCATGTTGAAAGCAACTTGTAGAAGGTTGAACAGGAGCACTCAACAAAAATGTCAGTGATATCCCCTTGGGCTGTTGCTGGTGAGGTGAAGTGTAGAGGTAAGGGAGTCCTTGGCCCATGTGTCCCCTCCACAAAGGACTGTGTGTGCACAGAGCGGATGTTGCAGGGGACTTCCCACAATACCTGTCGAATTGTGAATTTAACAGGGCTGTGTAACATGTGGGTACTGTCTGATGGTGTTTTTCTCTCATACTTACTGTGTTATAAAAGTTCCCACTGTCCTTTTATATCACCTGTTGGACTTCACATGTTAAATGACACTTTTCTGGGGCCATAAATGTAGGAGTGGAAGGACCTGCCCAAGTGACAGTGCAGGAAGCCGGCATTGGAAGGGCTGGACTGTGTAATGCACATGCTGTGTCCTGCCCTTCCAACTGCTCTGAGGCCTGATAGTGAACCTGTGTCAGGAGGAAGCACTGGCCTTGCTGAGCAGGCTGCAGCCTGGAGGATCCCTGGGGACCCGGCATAGTGCCGGCAGCTCTGAGCAGTGGCCTACTCTGCTCTCCTGTCAGCCGCTATCTTTAACTCTCTCATCCCCAAAGGCTGTGAGCTGGATCAGGAGCTTCAGGTCACAGTCAGGATTGTTGTTTCTGTCCTTAAGAGCAAACCTTATGTTTGCACAGTAGTTTGGGATATGAGGCAGACATGCTGGTTAAGTTGTTTGTGTCAGATGGATAAGCAAGTAGTTTCTTGAACTCCATTCTCCTTTAGAGTTGTTTTTTTTTCTATTGTGTTCAGTTCTTTCCTATGAAAAGACACGTAGTCTGTCAGGTAAAGAGCGTTCTGTGGCAAGTTACAGCGCAAGGAAATTTGCTCTTTTGCTGTGCAAGTGGGCTTCCCCTGGCATTCACTGTCATCTCAGTCTGTAGTGCTTTACTAGCTGAAGAGCATGCCCAGGCTCTTTCTGGCTGGTGCCGTGGTTGTAGCATCTTGCTGGAGTATCTGGGAATAGGTCAGGTGTGACGGACAAGGGCCTCTTGACGCAGAACGTGTGGGAGTGGCTGTAACATGAGATTTGGAATAAGTACCAGGGCTGCTTTTGAGGTCTTCTGTAAAGGACAAGCTTCCATGCTGTCAGGTTCGTAGTGGGGATGAGCGGGCCTACCCAGGCTGTCTTTTTACCGTTCTGGAAAGCAACTAAAAAAGTGGCTGGGAGTAGTGTGTGCTTGGTTATAGTAATAGGAACTTTGGAGCATGAAGTACCTGCGTTCTTCTGTTGGGATCCTTGCTTGTGATGGCTCCTAATGCACTCTCTTGCATTCTGTAGGCACTGGGGAGAGTGGGAAAAGCACATTCATTAAGCAAATGCGTATAATTCATGGCTCAGGCTACTCTGAAGAGGACAAAAAAGGCTTCACCAAGCTGGTGTACCAAAACATCTTCACTGCCATGCAGTCTATGATAAGAGCCATGGAAACCCTGAAGATTCTGTACAAATATGAACAGAACAAGGTAAGTGTCTCACAGTTTTTTTACGTCTTTGGGCAGTGAGGATTCTGGGGTTTGACTTCTAAGTTCCTGTTTGTTTGTGTCCTTCT